CGGGGTATAGGCGCTGGCCCCGCCGCCACCTCGGCGGCCCGCCTCCCCCGCCCCGCCGGCCGCCGGCCCCCGCTCCCGGAGAAAACCTGGCGGTGGGGCCGGCGAGGAGGTGCGTGCGCGGGCCGCGGGGACGGCGGGGGGCAAGCCGAGGCGGCGTCTGGTCCCGGCTTCGGGGGGTCTACAAAGACCTTGCAGGGCCGCGTCATGTGAGGGCCATATCTCTTCAAGGAAGTCAATTTGCGTATCAGTCCGCGCGAACCAGCGAGGACCGGTGCCCCCCCCCCCTCTTCCCCCAGGCCCCGCTCAGCCCGCGGGCCCCCAAAGCTCTCTTCAGCCGCGGTGATTGCCATTGTCTGTCCCTCTCTCCCCTCTCTCGCTCTCGCTCTTTCAATAGTTGCGGCTTTTTCCGTGAATGGCGAGATTTTGCGCAGGCTGCGCAGATGTCGCAGGGATTGCGCAACGCCTTTTACTGAAGGGTAAGGAGAGGACAGCCGATTAGGGGACTTGTGGAGGTTAAAATCTTCCTTCAGCCCTACCAGTTGACATACGTTTCGTAGGAGAAGAATCGAATCATCAAGAAAGTACGTCAATCATTCGCAGTCCTTTTAAGCTGCCAACGGCAGCCAATGCTTGCCCTCATAGCGCCTGATGGATAGGCAACATCTTGCCTACAATGCATGCAAGTACTGCGGGCTGGCCTACCCTGAATCTCGCAGGCGCCGAGCTCCCGTAAGTTGCCGAGTGAATATGAGAAGAGCGGGCGTACTTTCCCGGCGATCTCCTAGCTGCGAGCTCATGCAACCGAGATCAGGGGCACCCAGAGAAGAAGAGGGACGTGCCCCGAAGCCGTTTGCTAGCGGTAGGATGGTGCACGCGGTGAGAGGCCTTCGAACCCCTTTCACCAGGATTTCCCTCAACTGGATTCGCAGAAAAATTATGGCATAATCCTGCTAAAAACAAAAGTGTTTGTGAAACCACGGACCTCTCTCTCTCTCTCTTTCTCTCTCTCTTTCTGCTCCGCATTCGGTCAGTGACCTCCCGTTCCATCCGCCACGTGGCCATTTTCAACTCGTACCCTTCTGGCCCAAGTTCCTCACGGGCGAGGACACGGAGGCGCTGCGCACATCGAGCCCCACGCGCCCTCGGCCCGCTCTCGGGACGCGTGCGAAAGCCGTTCGGCATCTCCGTCTGGTGACCTCGCTGCGCCGCGACGCTGCAGTTCGCGCGGCTCGGATTACATCACCGCGATTGTTTTGCGACGCTTTTTCGCGCAAGTGTTTACTGCGGGCAGGAAACGCGGAGGAGGAAGGAGGTTCTTGAAAAATTTGCGCAGCGCGTACGATATCTGGTTTGGCCTGGAAGAAAGAGGGGGCCCCACCCTGCCCTGCTGAGGTCGAACCTCATGTGTCAATAGCCTCTGCCTGCTTTACTTTAAATTGGACTGAGATCTGGTGCCCGACGTGCGGCGCGACGCGGCCAACGCAAGTGGCGAGGGCCTGCAACATGTATGTTCTTTTAATTTTCATGTTTGTAGACGAGAGAAAGAGAGAGACAGAGAGGGGCAGAGAGAGACAGAGAGAGAAAGAGAGAGACAGAGAGAGAGACAGAGAGGGAGAGAGACAGAGAGAGAGAAGGGAAAGGGAGGGGGGGGGTGACCAAGAGCAAGGGTCAGAGATCAATCAGAACAGTAATGGCGGCAAAGCTCTCTACTAACACACACACACACACGCGCGCGCGCGCACACACACACACACACACACACACCAAATAAAAAGAGCCATATCTCAGATCAGAACTTACTTTTTTTTTCACTACGTGACCGTTCTTCTCGTGGTCTCACTGCCCCTTCCCCTCGCCCTTCCCCTCCCTGTTTACGCTCTGATACGGCTGGGACGTCCCTCGCGCCAGCTTGCGCCCCCCGAGCAGGCCCGAGGCCCGCGCCCCGTCCCGCCCCTTCCCTCGCCCTACATAGCGTGACTACCCTGAACGCGGACCTGGACCTTCGGGTCAGAAGACAGCGTCACACAGCGCGGCAACAGCGCCGCCCGAACCCCCGGCCCCCGCCGGCCCCAGGCGCCTCGCCCCACCCCCTCCGCGATATGGGGAGGAGAAAGGCAGAGGAGCGATATATAGTGAGAGAAGAGAGAGGGAGAGAGAGAGGGAGGACGGGCAGAACAAAAGCAGCCGGCAACACGTGACCGCCCCAGAAACACACCTGCCGGCTGGGCGATCCCACTTTACTAATTACAGAGCGGGGGTGCGAGGGGGGGGGGCGAGTGTGTGGTGTGATATGTGGCGTGATTGAAGTGTCCAGGTCTGCCCCGCACACCCTGCAGCTGCACTGCGCGGCGTGCTCGCGGGGGGGGGGGGGGGCGTGCAGCCCGGGCGCATCAGTAGACTGATTCCGAAGAGACCTAAGGAGGGGCGCTGCTCTATGAGTGCGACAAGGACGAAGCTATACGGAAGGTATAGGAGAGGGTTCTTCGGAATCAGTTGGCAGGCCAACCGACGGCGGCGGCGAGTCCACCCTGACCCTCTCGGCGCGGCGGTCAGCCTTGACGCCGCTCGCCGCCGGGCGCCGCCGGGTGGAGAGGTGAGGGGAGGTCCGGTAATGGGCTTAGCTAGACGTCACCGGGTTTGTCGTCGTGGTGCTTCCCCAGAGCCCGCAAAGAGCAGCGGCGCGGTGGCATTGAACCACGGCCGCGTCTCCTTGGCGCAACAGCTGACCGTGCGGTTGCAGGCCGGTGGGCAGCCCGGGAAGCAGGGGCTCCCGCTCCACGCCAAGCAAGCTCATGTGAACGGAACGGAACGGCGGTAAACAACCTATGGAGTGGCGCGTGCTCCGAGCCGTGTGGCGCATGGCGCACCGACCGCACCCGAGCGTCAACAACACACTCACACCCTCCCGCGCGGCACGGCCGGCACGGCCACGAACCCCACCTCAGGGCTGAGAAGAGGAGGCTTCCACTAGTACTGGTCGGCCGGGGACCCCTCGGCCCCTAAGGCTAAACCCGAACGAACGCTCGCCTGGCAGCTGCCCAGAAAGAAAGGGAAACAAGCGCCATCTGATCTGACTGAGAAACCACTACCCGCGCCTCATGCAGCAGAAGTAGATGACGTGGGGCGGGCGAGTGTTTGTCCCCCCACCCCCTTCGTTTCCTCATTTTCCCGGATGCAGTCGCCTGACGTCATGTCTACGTCATGCAGTTTCACAGGGGGGGGGGGGGCTGGACCTGCACGACCTGCACTACTCGCAGACGGCAGGACACGCAGCGCGACACGCGTGAACGCTAATCGCGAGGACAAATATTGGCGAAAAGGCTCATGCCAGTTTTGCCCATGTTAAGACAGGGCTTTGCTTAACAAGTTTCCATCTCCGGCCGGGACGTGGCGGTAGGGGCCTGGGGTCCGCGGAGAGGACTCCCTCAAGGATTCCATTGCCGTTTTGACCAAAGAAAAAGAGGAGGGGGTGTCAGTAATTTTTGGGGATTCGTCGTATCAAGTCGAGTCCATTTCCCGCCCACGCGTTGGCACGACGGCGGCGGCGTCCCCAGCAACCCGCCATGTCCTGTGACTCCCTAGGCCGCGCCGCGCCGCGCGTGCCACCGTCACCACCACGGTCGCAAAGTAGTCCCTCACGAACACGGCCCGCGCCGCTGCAATACTCAGTGACAGCCGTGGCAATCCACATTCCGTGGTTCAGAACACGCAGTGCAAATTTCAAAGGGCGTCGTGCACACTGAAATGTCATTAGTTCAGAGAGGTCGTTTTGCAGCTTTATTGATCGAAACCGTTGCGCAAGGATCTGCAACCAGAGTCCCGATGTAGTTCGCCCATTTGTGCCCCTTGTGCTCAGGCGGAGCAGCTCCTCCCTCGTCCCACTCACCCCCCTGCTGCCCATTGCTAAAGATGGCCGTACAGTGAGTTTTCAGGGCCCCGCCGGAAAAGACCCTGTTTTCCAGCAATTACCCTGAATTTTCTCCGGTCAAGTGATAAAAAACCTCCACCATTCCGCCATCAAATAAAAGCCAGCCCGCTGGGTGGCTTTGCTTGGTCCAGGTGAGGCAAATACTAGTCGTCGTGGAACCCAAGCGGTCCGCTTAACCTTCAGCCCTACCATTTGGACGAGCCATTCTGGCGTTAGAAGCATGAGTTTGCTTGTGACGTTGCTGTTCACGTGTTGCCTAGACTAACTAATTGTAAATGGTAGGTAGTTGTTCAAATTTATTAACTTCTGGCCCGTCCTTGGAACAAGGGTCACTATTAAGGTTATGTGTGGTGCAGACCTCTCAGAAGCTAACCAGATGAGTCCGGTTTTGTTTCGAGAAAGTTCTGCTTCATCCCGCATGTCTGAATTAGATTTCATTTCTAATATTGGTTTTGAATCTTGAGAAATTGACAGATGTCCTTGGCATTGCTTGAAAATTAACAGTTGTGCAACATAGCTCAAATGTAGTTTTGATTGATAATTTCTTCACTGCTCAATTGCTAGTTGAACTCTTCACTCTTGTTATTAAATACTTTCATAAGAAGAAAATATTTTCACTGTTTCTTTCCTCATTGTATAATTTTAAACATGAAAGTATTGTTCTACAACTATAGTAGTAGGTACTATCTACCATATACTACATAGTGACCTTTATACTGGCTTGTGACCAGAACTGTTCAGCTTGCTTGTGCTTGTTTACTTGAAACACAGTTTTCTTGAGGGGGGGCCCAATCCGTTGTCCTTTTTCCCCTCACTTTTTTATGCTGGTATTTTTTGCTCCTTAAGATACTAAAACTTTGTCCTTTTCCATATTTTTTTCTCTTTCTGATAATCTCAAGTCCAATCTGGGTACAAAAAAAATTGCACTAGTGGAAGTTGTGCCTTGTTGCCAGCTGTGTGTCAGTTCACTGATAACATGGTTCATCACCCATGCCATTGGCCACTTTTATCTCTTGTCTGTACGTCACCTCTGAGACAGTGCCAGATAATGTATAAAACAGCATGACTGTGGCTTGCTCAGATTAGTCCGATTTGTCGAGATCCTTGCAAGACGTGGGCACCTCTGGTTTACAGGGCCCCAGCCGGCCTGAGTTAAGAGTGTAGTGGTACGTGCAGTGACAGCCGAAACATCTTGTGCAAGCGTGTGTGTGCCAGTGTAACAAAACGGATTCGAACACTTTTGTTCAGTACCTAGACTCTATTAGCGCCTATGGTGCGATGCTCAGCTGGCTGGGTCTAATTGGGAATGTGCAGTCCTAACTTAAATTTTGGAGGTGTTCAATTGGGTCCTTCTGAGGCCTGGTGCTGTGAATGCACCTTCCGTGTTAAAGACGAAACTGAAAGCCGAAAGGTAAAGTATTTTATGGAAATAGTAAGTGAATATCTGTTGTGTTTGTCTGAGGAGTATAGTCAGTTAATATTGTACCAAAGTGAAATTTTAATTTCTTGCCACAATTTGGAATAGAAAACAGGTTTGCTTAATTTGGATTACATTTCCTGAATATGCAACTTCAACTAAGTGTAGTATTTTAAAAAGTCTAATTTTCTTTTGTATGTGGGCTATAACACACAGATCAAATAATCATTGAAACTTGCCGTTGAAATGTTTGTTTCATGGTGTCAAATGTTCTTTTGTGTATTTTCTTCTAAATTTGCTGTTTGTGGTATTCTTTGCCTAACTCAAGACTATCTATTTGTGGAAGCACCCACCAATTGTTGCTGTCTTCTTAATATTTTTCTGTTTTGCTGTTACAGGGTAGCGGGAACTCGGGTCGGCTGGTCCAGGGCCCAGCAAGTGCATTTTCCCTATTCCAGTGCAAGTGGCACCTCACTCTCAACGCTGAACCACCTTGGCTACGAGCAGAGTTGTGTTAATTCTACTGTACACTCCAACCTGCTAACTAGCGCTATCCAGTCTAACGCTGACCCCGACCGGATATAGGCTGCCTCGTAAGTGAAAATATAAACTAACTTTTCTGGATGGTTGAAGTTCTACAATCACTTACGGACATTTTTTTCTTTTGTTTCCCTTACAGTTTGCTTAGTTGAACGAGTCAACCTAGAACGCTTCCTGCAGGACATTTATCCTGTGATTGATAATTGTAATTTTAAACCCCATTAGAATCTTCCATTCTTATATATCTTCTTAATTACTATAAAAACATCAACTTAACAATGAAGCTCACCAATCTGGATGAACGTATCCATGTCCTCGATGGAGAGACAACTCCCTCGTCCGTCTTGCGGGCGATTTGCCAATCTGGCATTCAGGAAGAAGCCTTTTACATTTGCGATGCTGACGATATCATTTTCAAGTTCAAACAATGGAAACTTTTGCTTCCACGCGTTATACCCCATTATGCTGTCAAATGCAATGACAGTACTGTCGTTCTTGAAATTCTGGCTGCTCTTGGCACTGGTTTTGACTGTGCTTCCAAGGTATGCACATTCATTCTAATATATCTAATCTAACTAAATAGATCTATCTACCTTGTACCCCATAACATGTAGATTTGTCTTTTTTCAGGGTGAAATCAACAAAATTTTGGATTTGGAGGTAGACCCAAACCGTATCATTTTTGCCCATCCATGCAAACCTGCTTCTCATATCCGTCATGCTGCTGCCTTGGGTGTCAACTTGACAACTTATGACAATGCCACTGAACTTCACAAAATTAAAACCCTTCACCCCACCTGCAAGTGAGTTTCTCCTCAATTTTAACTGTTTTGAAGTACTTACATTTCCTGACTCTTCCTTTATTAAATGGAATTGGTTCTTCTTGCAGCCTTGTTCTCCGCATGAGGTGTGACGCATCATCCTCCTGCTCTCAGCTTGGAATCAAGTATGGGTGTGATCCTATTGCTGAGGGACCTTATCTTCTGCAACTGGCTCGTGATCTTGGACTCAACGTTGTAGGTGTAAGCTTCCACGTTGGCTCTGGGTGCAAGGAGCCAGCTGCATTCCGTAGGGCGATTTCTCTTGCAAGGGATCTCTTTGATTTGGGCACTGAATTGGGATTCAATATGACCCTCCTTGATATTGGTGGAGGCTTCCCTGGTGACAACAATGTCAACTTTTCTGAGGTAATGTGTGTCCCTTCTCTGTATGATTTAAGGTGACCAATGTCTCAATTCATACTAATATTTTTCTATTTCTTTTTTTTTTGTTGTTTTTTTTAGTGTGCTGATGTCATTAATTCTTCTTTGGATGACTTTTTTCCATCCCCTGAAATTCAAGTCATTGCTGAGCCTGGCAGATACTTTGTTTGCTCTGCATTTACTCTAGCCACTAACATTCACTCTAAAAGAGAGGTTCGTTCACCAGATGGCAACATCTCAAGTGTGATGTATTACATTAATGACGGAGTCTATGGATCCTTTAATGCAAAGTTGTATGAAGATGCTATCTTTCATGGAGTCCCATTGGACGTGAGTAAATTTTCTCCGTTTTACTTTTTTAAGTGCACCTGAAAGTATGAGCTTATCTTATGATATTTTTATTATTAACAGACTCCCAAAGCTAAATTACTCCCTTCATCAATTTGGGGCCCTACTTGTGATGGCATTGACAAAATAGAAGAAAATGTTCTGTTTCCTTTGATGGAATTGGGCACCTGGATTATTTATTCTAACTTGGGTGCATACTCTGTACCTGTTGCAAGTCCTTTCAATGGTTTCCCTGTACCAAAAGTGCACACTGTGTCCTCTCATGCAGCTTGGTATGTAACTTTTCATCTTTGTCACACTGAGAATGCTTTGAAATTATTTATTCATTATTCTCTCTTTTGCCCTCCAGGATGCTTTTGAGGGAGAGGCTCCCATTGTCTCCTGAGCATTTTGTGGAGGGAAACACTCCAGCTAATCTCTGTATGGGATTAGATCTTGGTGGTGCTGCCCCCATCTCTGAAGTGGCTCGTCTCTCCTTGTCCGGTGCTATTCCTGATCTTTCTATCTCGCGTACCTCATTGGATTCCCAAGGCTCTTCTGAAAACAATGCCCACGATATGTCTGACATGTCAGACATGTCAGGTTATGCTCCCATGATGTGTCGCCGTGCTTCAGTAGTGGACAATTCTGACATCTCGGGAACCTCTCCATTGTTCATTGAATTTATTCAAGTTGGTCCTATGGATTGATTCCTTAGTAAATTCCTCCCTTCTTTTAATGTTGAGTTCACACTCAATTGATACAAAGCCTGATCATAATATCAATTTTTATTTAGGATGATATATTACAATTTTCATCGGATATTTTAATCTGATGTGAAATTATATTCCAACAATTGGGACCTAAAGTGACATGGCCTACAGGTCATGAATTTTGTAAATGCCATTTTATTTCTTTCGTTGATTATTGCAGAAATGAGTTTTCTGTTTCTCTCTTAGTTTTTCCTTGGGTGAAATGTACTTGGTTTGCTTTTAATGATCAAAGGGGGGAAAAGGTACCTTTTAAGAGTCCATTGATGTGCCTGCTGTGTTGACCATCTCTTGGAATTCTTTTCCTCAATCAGAGAGAGGTATCTTGAGTATCCAATCATCTGAAACATCTTGATATTCATGTCTCTTAATATTGTATATCCTGAACTATTTTTACACTTTTCAATCTTAATTGTTGTCAAAAAAGAAAAAAAAGGCCAGCTTCTAATAAGGCTGTATGCTATTTGTTAAATCCTAACTAATCATGTACTTACTCAAAGACTGGCAATGAAATTATGTCTTAATCATTCTTGTGTTTAATGCAGGGTATTACATGTATGTACGTAAGTGAATATGGAAACAATTTTCTGAGCACAAAATGTAGGCATGTCAGGAATAGATCTTTTTGTGCAGAAGCCTATTGTCGGATTTGAATTACTGATGGTCAGCATTGATTTTACTTTCAGAATCCTTTTTTATCTTGTATCTTAATTGAAGGGGTTATTCCATTGAAGTCCAACATGTGATGTCATGGGTCAAATTTTATTTCTTTGTGTCTGTACCAGTTGTGACACGTATCCACCAGTTCGACTATTTGACTGTTCTCCCAATGTTGTACTTCATCCATTTATGTCTTTATTTTCTCTTAGTTGTAAAGACATTGGTCACAAACTATTGTCTGCATCTCATTTTGTCATTTTAAATTGGGTGTGTTTTTATGAATCTAGGTGAAACGGTTGCTTTATTGGGGTTTATTGATATGAATATATAATCATAGTGTTAATGTAATGATAAGAGCTGTATCTGATCCAGAAGTTTCTGCATAGTTTATTAATATAAACTGTTGCTACTTTGTACTTACTTCAGATACAGCTTGGGAAGCGTTTTAGGGGAAAGTTCCCTTAAGCAAAGAGGCAGCTTGGCTGGAAAATGTGGATTATTGTATATTTTTTTTTCCTTTTTTTTTTGTGGTAATAAATAAACTGTTGTCTGTATTGATGACACCAAAATTTGATTGTCCTTATGTCTGTCTAAAACCTGCAGTTTGAGATTTAAATTGAAGTTAAACCTCACACACAAACAACACAACTACAGTAATGTTTGTAGGCATTCTGTGCCTTGAATGGACGACCACAATTCCGAGACACAGTATTTGTTCTTTTGAAAGTTCAAGGGACCATCCGAAACCCATAAAAAGAAAACGACTGATGATTCTCTGAGTCACAGCATATAGCAGGGAACATACTTGATGCCTCCTATCTCTAAGAATCTTAGTTTTAAAAAATATCGGAACCAGAGCGCCTCACTACTGGAAAATATATTTAAGAAACCAAAAACCTTGGGCCAACAGTGGCCTCGCGGTTAGTCAAGTCAAGTACTTACAACAAGGCTTGACTCTATGATGCAAACGGTGCAAACTGCTGTGGTCTTGAGTCTTGAGGTGTAAGGGGTGAAGGTTGGTCAAAGGGTCGAGGAAATCAAATTTTCGAGGCATTTTCCGAAAGTGAAGAAATGAAGAGGAAAGGGCCAATCAGAGTTGGCCTCTCTCGCGTCAGGCTAGAACGGCTCTGGGAACCCGCATCTGATTGGCGGAGGCTACTATGCAAACTTCTCCACTTTCAGAAAATAACCCATTTTCACGAAAACGGAGCAGAACCCGATAGTTTTTTAAAAAAGGAAAATCTCTGTGATTGTTTCAAAACAAATCTTAACGAAAATTAGTGGCAGGGAAGAAATTCCAAAACTCCTGGCTGTTTGACTCGGGACCACTCCTGTAGCCATCAAAAGTTGGTGGATCAAGAGTCTCCCCGTTTCCGGTCTGATCTGGTCTTTGAAGTGTACCAAGCAGTTACCGACACCACGTTGCAGAATAAGTAAGTTACTGTTCCGAACAAACAAGGATTTCGGCTAGAAAAAAGTTAAAATACACTACCGCAGTGCTCGAGTAGTGTTCGGGTGTTGGCGTTGAGTGTTCGTTTTAGAAAACTTCCGTACCGGAAAGCTTTTTAACCAGTGTAGACGTGCTGCGTTCCGTGCAGGTTAGGGGCACCTGTCCAGATTTACTTTATTGAGCAAGTTGGTGTATAAATTTTACTTCGTAATTAAAGTCCTATCTCAATTCGATTATAATTAATGCTCTTGCGCCCCTCTGTCATTTGTTTGAACTTGTGTACTGAGTTACTACCCCGGCTTGTTTGTAGTCATAACGCGCGGCCAAGGCCACGCTTTGCTAGCCTGTTCACAATACTTATTTCATTCATCTGAATTTCAAGTCAGGAGCAACTCTTCTTGTGAATATGACTCTGCTGAATAGTAAAATTTTTCATGCTTGTCAGTCAAGTCTTTAAATCTACCTGTCCGTTTCGTGTATTGTGCTACACCGGGTACCTAACCCTCACAAATGTGAATTGTTGTTCTTTTTAACGGTCCCTGTGTTACCATTTTGCTGTGTTAAAGCATTAAGGTGTCTATAGGGACCTAAATTAAATCACTAATGGACGAGAGTTTGTGGCCGGTTTCAAATTCTATCAAATTTGGTGACACATATTTTAATTTTTTGTCAGTGATGCATAGTTTATTCTAGTTAAACTCCAGTCCCTGTGTTTCCATTTAGCTGTCCATAAGCTTTAAGGTGTCAAACGGGACTTAAATCAATTCACCACAGGACGAGGGTTTAGGATCTATCCTTCCACCCCATCAAGTTTGGTGAAACAGCATCAGTTTCATGTGTATTTCGTGAACTGTAGGGCTTACTGCTGACTGTTGCTCTTGATTGGGGCCTTGTTAATGTTTTGTCTTCTTTTTAGGGCTGCAACATGCAGATCTTCGTCAAGACCCTTACGGGCAAGACCATCACTCTTGAGGTCGAGCCCTCAGATTCCATTGAGAATGTGAAGGCTAAGATTCAGGACAAGGAAGGTATCCCCCCAGACCAGCAGCGTCTCATCTTCGCTGGCAAGCAGCTTGAAGATGGCAGGACATTGTCTGACTACAATATTCAGAAAGGTATTGTATTTGTATAATTTCTATTGAGTGTCAGTGGATTTTGTATGGATGTTAATAACTCTTTTTTCCAGAATCTACTCTTCACTTGGTGCTGCGTCTCCGTGGTGGTGTCATTGAGCCCACTCTCCGTATCCTTGCCATGAAGTACAACTGTGACAAGATGATCTGCCGCAAGTGCTATGCCCGTCTTCACCCTAGGGCAACTAACTGCCGCAAGAAGAAGTGTGGTCACACAAACAACCTCCGCCCCAAGAAGAAGCTGAAGTAGACTTTTATTGTTTTATTTGTGTTTGGGAGGTGTTCCATCTGTCATACTCAATGTTCTATTTTAAATTCAATAAAACACTGAATATGACTAACTTTTATTTCACTTCATGCCTTTTTTCATGAAATTTTCAAAGTTTTATGTTGCTGATCTACCATTTGACAACTAAGTCACATATTTCATCACCTTAATTACTTCATCTTAAATTTTAATAGAAAAATAGAATCAAGTGCTTGAAGTCTTTTATTCACAAAAATGCTGATACATATTTTAGAGCATTTTATAATCACAATGTACAAAGTACTCACAATCACATTAACAATATGTAATTGCACTACTGATAAGGATAGTCTGGTTCGAATGGTGACACTAAGTTATTGAAAGACTTCCTTTTAATGGGATGGTTGCTTTTTCAATTTCAATTACACTCTACAATTAGGTGGTAACAGTTGGTACCTATCGTGGACTAGCCTACAGTATCAAGTAGGTGAAACAATGTGAAGGGAACTGCCTGGTATACAATTAGTAGCTGAATCTTTGAGTTATGGTATAAATTGAAAGAGTTCCACAAAACTAACGTAAAAGCATATACATCCAAAAAAATGCCCCTCGGCTATATCTCAAACTTCAACTGTTTGTGTCCATCTGCTAATTCTAGTTGTGATAACCCAGGGCTATTCTTTGTCAAGTTAACAATCTGTGCTTATTGGGATGATGCTCTTGCTCAGAATAAATATATCAGTACTTGGGAAGTTGCAGACCACAAAATGATGGTAAGTTGCAAAGTAGTTCATAGGTTTGAAACCAGGCAAGACATAACATCCTGACACTTGGTACTTTTGCGATACAATTTAAAAATTACACTTTTGGTCTACCTTCACTCAGTTTACAGTTATATGGCCATACATATTTAAATTAGAACATTCTTAAAATACCTATATAAAAGCATCATACTAGAGGCAAAATTGACAACATTTGTTTCAGATATGACATTTATGGAAAAAAATGACAAGTAATTTAAGTTATACAAAATCTACACCTTCAAAGTACAGTATACAACCCTGGCCATGGCGCACTCAGAAAAATTGTATTGTCAATCTAATTTTGAGAATAAGTTTAGGGCCTCATAGTGAAAAGGGAAGTTAAAATCAGCAGGCACAAAGATATAGGCCACACTTAATCTATAAAATGATGTGAGCATTGGGCATAGATTTGTAAAATATCTGTAAAAGGAAGACATCACAACAGTTACAAAACCTTGAGTTTAAAAATCTATAAAAAAAATTGGAAAAGCTATTTTTTTTTTTAATTTACATAAATAGGCACAATTTTTTTAGAATATGACAAGAGTACAGTTTAGACGAACTGATTAGAGACGTTTGCTCTTATTTTTGAAAGATAACTGCTTTTGCAGTTCTTCATTAATGACTTCCTGTGCCACCCTAGTTAAATCCTCCACTGTTAAAAACAAATCATCAATTTCACTTTCTTTTTCCTCTAAAGGCGAATGGTGGACAGACTTTGAGCTTTGATCAGTTATTTCTAGTGTTGTGTTAACATTAAGATTAACTTCTTTGTTTTCTATAGAAATTCCAGCTAAACTACAAGTATCTTGCTCATCAGCCTGTGTGAGACTTCCTTCTAGAAGCTTTGGAACTTTTTTAATTTTCTTCACAGATATAGGAGGGTAGCTGGGCCCCTGAGCTTTACGATGTGGACTTAACTTCCCTTTACTGACAAATGAAGATTGAGGAGGACTCTTCATCCATTCAGGCAGGCTACGTTTACGCATCGTTTTATTCAAACTCATCTTCCTCAGACTTAAATATTCAAAGCAGAAAATTGAGTGTAAATATTTAAATGGCAATAGATTTTTTTTTCTTTTGCACACAAGAATGCCTGAAAGAAGCCAGTGTCACAGGCAGAGGCAAACAGAGAAATTGTGATGAGAAAAGATATGAGCTTTCTAAATTTCTTCAAATAATACTTTTTTAGCTACTAACAATTAAAAGCAGTCTTTATCATAAGCAATCAACACAGTTAGATTTTTGAGAGGCAATAGAATGACAAGAACATTGCGCTAATGATTACACCAACTGGGGAGTCCACTAGCCTTGCATGAAACTTACAACACACATCTGCCTTAAATTTGCAGAGTCACACATACAAAATTTCAAACTCATTTGCACACACATACACAAACTCACAGATACGTACATACATACATTCATCTATATATACATAAATACAAGAAGCCTTCACAAAGCAAATAGAACACGCAGATCTGTGGTCAACAGCCTCAGCCGTCTCCGTCAAAAGTTATTCTACCCCAGATGCGGGCTAGACTTCGAACGAACTGTAGTCAGTTTGAGCTCTCTACACGTCGCCAAAGTCCACGGTGCTGGTGCGTCCTGAGTGGTAGTGACGGTGGGCGGGAGCGGAGGCAGGGGTGGGAGCCCCGCCAACGGAACGGTGGTAGCGCAGCCCCTGCATGCCGTGTCCTTGCAAGCCTTGCAATCCCTGTAGCCCCTGCAATCCCTGCAGCCCCTGGAATCCCTGCAAAGGAAGACCAAGGCCACCGTACAGTTCGTCGGCGTCCCTCAGATCGCGCAGGTCGTCCTCGGAGCTCTGCGGCGACTGGGGGGAGGCCGGCGATGTCGGGGAGGGTGGCGAGAGGGCGGCCCCTTCCAGGCCGTCGGCGTCCTCATCCTGGAGCAGCTGGCGGAACTCCTGGATCGACTCGTTGAGAGACCACAGCTGGGACAGCAGGGACAGGTCCAGCTGCCGGAGGCCGTACTGCAACAGAAGAGCACAGAAGATATCGTTAGTCGTCAGTCTCGCAGGAAAATGGGGTAAAAGACCTCGCGGGGAAGGAAATCGGAACACACTTTCGGCATTAGTCACAGCCGACAGCCGGCAGGGCCAGCCCGGCCAACAGCCCCCGGCGCCCTGCCTGGCCCGGCCCTGCCTCGCCTGGCGTGTTGAAGCCCAACAAGCCCACCCTCCCCTCGGGCCCTTGGCCTCCCCCGCATCCAGGGAGGAGGGACCCAGATGCGTAACTCGATTAGAATTAGAATTGGGCCAGAGCTCGCCCACGAGCAGCCGAATGCAGAGAAGAGTGCAAATAATAACGAGTCCAGGGGCAAATCGACTGCAGCCCCACAGAGACTTTGCGGTCCGGTGCGGCCGGCGGGCCCAGTGTGTCGGGGGAGTTATTGGGACTGGCCGGGGCCAGTACGGCTGAGTCACCAGGCCGCGCCGGGCCGCTCACGAGCCGCACTCCTTAATCTCGTTTATATGCCGTAGCCGTGCCGGCCGTGCCACACCGCGAGTCAGGCTGTCCGTCCGCGAGGCTTGTCCGTCAGTCCGTCATGTCCCCACCCCTTCGGCTTGTTAGTGCGACAGAGATACACAAGCATTTAGGGGGCATCGCTTTCTCTCTCCTGCTGAGCACGGCGCGGCGAGCGCCGCCGGCCCGCCCAGAGCGTGGACCAGGATTTTCATGGAGACTTGCAGCCCAATTTGCCCGTTTGTCACGATGAGCTTCTGACTTCACGATCTTCCCCGAGCTCCACGCAAAGCGTCGCCCCCTCTCGAGAACCCTTCGCCCTGGCCCTGCTGCAGGCCGCACGGCCATCCGGAGAGCTCCAGCAGGAGCGCTGTGAGAGTTCCTCCCGGAAGCATCAACTCCCGCCCCGCAGGAGCTCTCCTATAGCCCTGCGCTTGAGCGCCCCCCGCTGTAGCACCACCCTGACGTAGCGCCCTGACGTAGCGCCCTGCCGTAGCGCCCTGCTACAGCGTCCTGCCGGAGCCCCCTGCTACTACAGCGTCCTGCCGGAGCGCCCTGCCGGAGCGCCCTGCTACAGCTCCCTGCCGGAGCGCCCTGCTACAGCTCCCTGCCGGAGCGCCCTGCTACAGCGCCCTGCCGGAGCGCCCTGCTACAGCTCCCTGCCGGAGCGCCCTGCTACAGCGCCCTGCTGGAGCGCCGCCCTGCTGGAGCGCCGCCCTGCTGGAGCGCCGCCCTGCTGGAGCGCCGCCCTGCTGGAGCGCCGCCCTGCTGGAGCGCCGCCCTGCTGGATAACCCAGGGAGACCTGCTGCACGAAGAGCAGCTCCGAGTCTCCGCGCCGCGGCCGAGGAGTGGTGCAAGTTATGGGAGACGGAGGCGAGGCGAAGAGGCCAAATAATTGGCAAGCAGCAGATCCAGAGCGGCAGCGCACCGCGGCACCGCACGCCACGCCACGTCAAGCACCCCGAGCAGTCCACCAAACAGATGCAAGTTATGCAAAGTCGCCTTGCATCACCGCACCGCTGCCGCCGCCGCTGCACCGCACCGGCCGGCTGGCTCCCTGCACTTCAGTTCCACCGCCGCCGGGCGGGCTGCGTTCGCCTGGTCCGGCCGTTCACACGATCGCATCGCGGCATTCATCAATCGGCCCTCCCATGTCCCGCTCCTCTTATTCGAGGAACAGAGAGCGCGGATGGCGTGTATGAGAATGCGCGAGCGTGTGCCAATGCAATAAAGGGTTGGAAATGTAGAGTACGCGATCGAGGGTGACGTGGGGCCAAGGAGGTTCGTGCAGCAGCGGCGCCCCGCGCCCTGCCTGCCTTTGCCCGCCCGTGCACCCCGCGGAGATCGCTTCACCGCTGTCACCACGCGGCGCAGCGCTGCGCAGCAGCGGACGCAGCCTTTGGCAGAGCGCTCTATGCCTTCCAGAAACCGTTTGGAAACGAAATGAAACGTAATGAAACGAAACGAAACGAAGCCTTCCGGGAGCGCAGCCCGGCGCGGCCTAGGTAGGCGAGGGAATGAATGCAATCAGCCGGCAGCCTGGAGGTGGAGGCGCGGCTGGGAGGAGGATGGAGGTTAACAGAGGCTGAGCTCGGGCTGAGCTACACCACCAGGGAGAGGAGCACAGGGCGACCCGAGCGGGGCCGTGGCTGAGCCTGGCGGAGCCTGGCGCCCGTATGGAACGGGACCGTGAGGTCCACTTGCCGGTAATTTCAACACGCGCCCGCACCGCGCGGCCCGGGCCCAAACCGTCCCCACGCCGCTCCGCGCCGCCTCGCGGGTCGCCTCGCCAGGCCCCAGCCCGCCCCAGCCACACCGCACCGCACCACGGCCGCGGAGGCGCACGCGCGGCGAACTCCTGACATTTCTCCTCGTTTTATCATCTTCCTCTCGGCGGAGCCCCGTTATCACCCCAATCACGTAACGCAACGACGTGTCGTAGGAAAGTAACACATCCTGCACACTCGATTATTAAAGTCGACTCCTCGTTACCGCATTCCACGCGGGGCTGGCCGGGCCGGGCCGGGCCGGTGCCGGTGTGCTCTGACCCCTGACCTACCGCACGCACCACGCACGCACGGCGCGGCTCGCACGGCGCCACGCCCCGCGCCACTTTGCATTGGAAACTACCCCCCTCCCCCTCCGAAAGAGAGGCATTAACCTTTTGAATGGGGTTCACACGGCTGCCGGCTGAAGGCGACTGCCGCGCCTCCCCGGCGCCGTCCTGCTGGCCGAGAGCGAGGCGGCCGCGCTCCAGAGAGACATCCCTGCCGATCCCGTTAAAGTAGAGCAGCGCGGCGGCGGCGGGGCGCGCCGAGCAGCGCACACACTGCCAAAATAGTAAGAGCGCGTCCGACCGTCCGTACGTCTGCCCGTCTATCCGCCTGCCATTATTGGCGCTGGCAGCATAAATCATGGCAAAAGGCATGAAAGAAGAAGAGGCCAGTCACTGAAACCGAGCCAGGATGACGTCGTTCGCCGCTCAAAAACGCTGCTGCCACCCCACTCTTCTGCCCCCTCTCCCCGTCGCCCCTCACCGAGTGTACCGGCGCAAAACATCAGGGCAGGTCAACGACCGGCCGGGCCCGGCACGGTGGCGGGCAGAGCGCAGAGCCATGGACGGAGCCAGGGGCAGAGCGGCCGCCTCGTCCTCCTGTGCAGGCCTTGTGCGTACCGGCCGCTCCCCCACTGACCCAGCTCCTGCAGCCTCACGCTCTCCAGGGCCAGCTCCAGGCGACTCCAGGCGCAGAGCGGCCGCCGCCTCGTCCCGGGCCTTGTGCGTACCAGCCGCGCCCCCACTGACCCAGCACCTCCGGCCTCACGCTCTACAGGGCCAGCTCCAGGCGATTCCAGGCGACTCCAGGGGCAGAGCGGCCGCCTCGTCCGAGGCCTTGTGCGTACCAGCCGCGCCCCCACTGACCCAGCTCCTGCAGCCTCACGCTCTCCAGGGCCAGCTCCAGGCGATTCCAGGCGACTCCAGGCGGCTCGAGCCCGCAGCGTGCACTGCTCCGACGCGCTTGCAGCCGTTGTCATGACGGATCAGCTGATCGCGGTGCGGATCGACAGCAAGGCCGCCCACTTCTCCAGCCCAATACATAATGTCCTTCCCTACGGGCAGGCGGCATGGCGTGGCGGAGCAGGACGGAGGCCAGCGGAGCCGCGACGTCATGGCTGCTCGGCCGTTAAACCGAACTGCGCGGCAATTGGGTAATCACTGGACATAACTTCTGTCACCCCCCACCCTACTCCCTCGGCCCATGCACGGTCCAGCTGCCTCATGGCATGGCGTGCCCTGCAGCGCATGGAGCGACATGGAGACAGCGGAGTAAACCAGGTGGCCAGTTCCGTAGGTAGACTGTACAGCATGCAGGCAAGCGGCCGAGTTGCCTACTCGGTGGTGGAGCCGTAAGGCGCCATAGCCCATAGCAAATTGATACGGAGGTAGGCAGGTAAGCAAACCCGGTTGAGCACGAACTTGCATGCAGTAACTTGGAATGAGCGCACGCAGGCGTGGTTCGCCTTTTGAAGATGATCTGACGTTGGCGAGATCGTCCAGAAAGTTCGTCTGTTTTACTCAGATTCATTCGGCAAACTGGGAGCAAGGCGCCTGCGAGACTCGGGGTAGGCCACTCCGCAGTACACGCACGCACTGTAGGCATGATATTGCCTACCTACAAGGCACCTTTTACAGGTGATGTGGCGTTCGCAGATCGTTCACTTCAACAAGGGTTATGGCAGGCAACTGCTTGTTCAACGAGAACTGGAGCCACATTACGTCCGTTTCACTCAGACTCATTCGACAAACTGAGAGCACGGCGCCTGCGAGACTCGGGGTAGGCCTCCCCGCAGTACACACATGCACGGCAGGCCAGATGTTGCCTACCCACCAGGCGCTATGGTGAGAGCTTGCACAGCCTGAGCGGCTAATAACGGAGAAAGACGAATGTACTTTCTGGATGATACCTGGGACCTAGTCCTCGCGGCGGCGATGCGGCGGGTGTACAGCGCAGTGCCAGCGGAACGGGCGGGAGTGGAGGAGGGACAGCAGCGGCGGGCAGGGCCGCCGGGTCCTTGACAGCGAGTGCGGGGCCCGGCCCCGAGCCACCCCGGCCACCCCTCGCACCAACCGGCCCGGCCTCCTGGAGTGTATGTAGGAGGCTAGGATGGGAGGAGGTTCCTCCGCCCAAACCGGCTGGCGGAAGCAATTTTTCCACGCATTAATTGGGAGTCGATCGGACGCACTACTCTGAATAACAATCACGGGCCGGGCGGGCGCCGTCGCGTCATCTCCCTCAAATAACACGTCAAAACCAGTTCCGTCTCCGTCCTCAGCTCGGCGGCCGGCAGGCGGGGCGGGGCGGGGCGGGTGGGCGCGCGCGGGGGTCGACGGCCGCGCGCGCCGAGGACAGGGGGCGGCGAGCACCGCGCCGAGGGCGGCCGGGCCGGTGCCGGTGCCGGTGTGCTCTGACCCCTGACCTACCGCACGCACCACGCACGCACGGCGCG